CAGCCTGCAAGCGAGCAACCTGAAACTCCATCTCTGCACCCCTGTGGTGCAGGCGATTCAAGTGAAGCTATGTAGCAACTCACCACGTCCTCCTCCCACATACTCAGAGACTCAAGACGTCTCTTCAAGGCCTTGCACATGATTGACTGTGTGTCAGTGAAAGACAGTTAAGACAATAGGGTCCATGAATTTCTATAAGTAATGACATTGGAACACCTACACTGCCATTCAATGGTTTCGGCAGGATGTATGAAAATACAGAACTGCATTTGAAAATAGTCATAGTTTGTTTCTGTGGCAAAAAAAGCACTGACATGTGATCGTGACATCAATTTTTTTATGTAAATATGTTTTCTTTAATGTTATTTCTTACAGTTTTATATAAAGTTAATACACTTTTTGAAGATTTTTTTTTATATTACTAAAGGCAGTGTTCATTTGAATGCAATAAAAGATACTGAGTGTTTTAATAAAGACTGCAATTTGATGTCTACATAAATAAAACAAAACATTTGTGGGATTTGTAGCCATGTCTGAAATTATTAACTTTTTGTTTAACTTTTTTCTTTAGGATGATGAAATATCTTCGTTTGTTACTTCTTTTCTTTTCAGAATGCCGGGATGTGCACTCTTTTCTGGCACCACCACCAAGCCATGATGTGACACAATAAAAAAAATCCGTTCAAGTCCAACTAAAGGAAAACGAAAAACAGTTTAACCAGAAATATTTTCTTTTGTAATATTTCCCAAAAGTTAAAGTCTGACTTTATGCTGTTAACTAAAGGAGAAAAGTTAGGGCAAAAAGTCAGAAAGTCTGTGTGACCTATATATTAAACAGTATGGGGGTAGAGGATGACCAAAAACGTGAACAGGTGAATACATGAGTCAGTGACATCACTGAGTCTTTCTTTGAACTTGTACTTGAATTGACTTACTGTAAAAGAGATAGCATCAGAGCAATAGACAAGCTATACAAATAACAATTTATACTATTTTCATATTTATTAGCCAACTAGTCTGTGGTTAGAATTCTCGCACACCGTCAGCCACCAATAGCCCACATCAAATCAATCCATTTGTCACTGTGGTTTTTTGAAGTGACGACTGATAGATTATTATTTTATTGTAATGCAGGAGAATCCAGTCAATTGTTTCTAATTATTAGAGAATCTATACTGTATTTGTAAAAAAAATATATTTTATCTCAGTTAATGTGAACCACACAAGAAGAAACAACCTTTCGAACAACAGTAAACTGATTTATTACCAGTGTCATGTTGAGCTTACCGCACCTGTTCACTAATACGAACACTGCATCGTCAAACACAGTAAATCAAACAGTTCATCCAAACTCAGTGTCGAGAGATGCTGTGTGAGTCAACATTAAAAATGCCGCACGCAAGACAGGAGACTGTTTACTTGGGTGTCGCGTCTATGTGGTCACAAACTGTGACTTTTTATTTCCTTCACCAAGCAGCAGCCAAACCATTTAGGTGTGAAATGTATGTTTACACACATATTTGGGGTAAGTGTCAAGAGGTGAGTTTCTGAAGTTAGTTTGTGTGTGTGTGTTTTGAGGGAGGCCACTTTGAACAACTTGTAAAACTCAAGCGAGACATGGAAACTGTGCTTTGAGGTGAGTGGTAGCACACAAACGGAAACTAAGACCCCTTCTTACAAGAAAAACAGTGTAAGCACATTTATAGCAAGAAGCCAAGAACATATACACCTTGATGTCACAGTGATCGTTGTGGGGTTTTTTAAACTCAAACGTCCCATTTTCCCACCCATTAGTATTAATTCAGACAAAGTTTTAGGCAAGTGTAGGCAACTCCTGATTATGCAATTGCAGCAGTTTCCATGCTTGTCATAACTTGTAACAGGAAACACTGAAAGATATGGTACATCAGAACCTGAGGTACACAAATATTGTATAACACTCAGATAATCATCTGCCAGAGTTTTACACAGCCAATAGGTGCTGTAGCATGTGTTTACAAAAACGAAATGCCTTTCATACGCTGAAGCCTAATGTACAGTATCTATTTTTGGTATCAGTTTTGATCATCCACATGCACACAGGTGCTGTTTATCAAGAGTAAAGTAATAAAACGGTTCTCGAAATGTGGCTACATCACCCCCTTCTCATGTTTTCTGAGTTGTTACAGAAGAACGGAAACTGTGACATTCACTAAGGGCTTTTAGAGGTGTAGGTAGGTGTTGGGTGAAAACAGGTTTTTGATCCAAAGTGTTTGGTTTCAAACTGTCTCTGATTAGTGTTTTCCACATAAGTCATATAATGTTTAAAAGTGTGAGAGCTCTCAGTACAGTACACTCTCTTGTACCAGAAGATGTTTCTGGTTAGAGCCTGTGCGGTGAGTGGCCTAGATTAGCTGTGAGCAGCAGGATGTGTTTATGGCCAAATGCAAAGGTCGAAGGCAATGTACAGTAAGAGCTTGATCATTTCTTCTTCAGCACGTTACGTACAGCAGGCTCTGCGTGTAACCTACCTGATCATTCCATCTATCTTTCAAAGAAATCGTTTTCAGTGTCAGCAGCTGGGTTACAACCATAATGTCTGTGGCTCCATCAACACTAAATCTCCGAATCAGAATCAGCGTTATTGCCAAGTAGTTTTTACACAAACAACAAATTTGCTTTGGTGACGTAGTATATAGACATATTCTTATATAAATATAAAAATATGAAATTGATAAAATATGCAAGTTATAAAAGAAAAATAGAGACTATGTGCAATATGGCAGTTAAAGATGTGGCTAAATGTATTTATTCACATATACAATATTGTGCATTTCTGTTTTTTTACAAAGCAATACTTAGATAAAATAATAACATAATAGTGATCCTGCATTATGAGATGGAGCCTCTGGAGTCCTACAGTTATGTTGCAGCCCCCACTGTCTGATACATCTGGAAAAAAGAGACACTGAACCTCAGTTATAGGATATTATCCTGTTCCTGCAGATGGGCCTGATGAGGTTTCCCGTTGCTGCTGGCAAGCAGAGATGAATGTCTCCTGATGTTGTGATCCAGGGCATCCCACATTTGGAGACTTAACGAACGCAAAGGAAACTGACTAACATGGTCTTTTCACTGCAGTGACCTACGCTTTGGATTAAAGACATTTTAAAGGTGGCCCGATATTTTTCTAATTTTCTTCTTCAGGTACATGTTTTCTTTTACCATGTTACTTGTTTGATGCTTATCCCATTCAGTGCTTAAATCCTTTAGTTAGAGACTTAGGATAGAAACTCTGCAACGAGAATGTGATCACTGAAAATGGCTTCATTCTTTCATCCTCAGAGGGATTCAGTGGCATAAAGCAGCCAATCTTCATCATAACAGAGCTGCATCAACCTTTCACAGTGACAAACACTCGATCCATCTCTTGTTGATGCACAACACTCATCTGGTTTCTGAAAACAGATGACTCACTCAACTTTTTTTGTGCCACTTCCTCGCAAACCCACATTTTAAAGCGAGACTATGTGACTTTTAAAAGAAGAGACACTTCCTCTTATAAATGAAAGTCCTAAACTTTTAAACCCACCCTCGCTTGATTCAACAAACTCAGGGATTTTGCTGCTACAGCCTTACTTGTTCAAGAATCACCAGTAGGGTGGCTCATGTTACCAAGCTTTAGGTAAATATTTATGTACAACTGACACTTCTGAGTATGTTTAAGATTTTCCCTTAATCATCTCTTGTGGGCAACAGATGTTCCACAAAAATTACACAGTTTTGCTTTAAGGTGCTAAATACGTGTCTATAGAGAGCAAAACAATCACAGATGCGCTGATGTGTTTTTTTAAAATGTCAGTATCAACACTGTGTAAAACATCAACAAAGGAGCTACTGACAAACATATATTTTTAAGAGAATGATTTCAAAGGGTATTTTGGTGAAATTGTTTAATCAGAGAACTGCCATGGTGTTTTTCCTGTTTGAAAACTCAAATCAGTTCCAGTAAGTGATGCACTTACATAGTTGGTTGTTCACGTTTTAACGTGAGGGAAAGCACTGGCCAATCAACTCAGTAAGTTAAATGTGAACGCTTGCATACTTTTATTCCCACTCATGAGACCCAAAGGAAAGATTGGGCGTTAGCTCTCTGAATTATCTTGAAGGACACACCTGAACATCCCGTGAACTTTATATCAATTATTACTGTGTCATTTATTTGAGTCCTTCTGCCTGAATGAATAACTCATCAGAGCTAATGGATGATGTATCTGCTTTGAGAACACTGTTGTTGAGCTGTTGAGCACTGAGTGGAGATCAGTGCTGAGAGGAAGAGGACTACAGCAAGCAGAAACCACAAGAGGTCCCTACAGATCAGAACTGCAGCTCTTTGGCAGGATGTGAATCCAGGTCTTATGAATATGAAACAGGTTGCCACAGTTTGACATGTGGAATTTCAAAAGGTTAAAGGCTGTGGGCACAGCTGAACATTTGATTAGATGTGGGCTAACTCAACAATTCACCAGCTACGAACTACTACTAACAAAATGCCCCCCCCCAACCCCACACACAAGCCACACACACGTGGTGTGTGGGTGATAGCACATGCTTCTTTGTACATTATACAGCTTTATACATCTCTCTTAATGTACAAAGACAGGGATTCCCTATATACAAATTTTCTATTGGTTTCTTTTTAAGGATGATATCGTTCAAGTGCGCGCATGCCCGCTTTAAATGTTGCGCAACACAGCAGACCCGAGCATTTCAGGTGTACTTTCAGGATTACTGAAAGTAAAAGCTGCAATTCATTCATTTGCCTGTGATAGTCCTCTTAAGCACAACACAAGTATACAGCAAATATTATTTAAACATGCCTGTATTCCTACTCTGAGCCTCCAGTTACTGTACAGTATAGACTAAACCACTCCCGCTCCTGGACTGGGCGTGAGTCAGGAGCGCAGGTGTGATTGTATCCATTCTCAACAGACTGTCTCCCCAAGTGGTTCACTGTGGGAATTAAGACGGGAATACGTCCAGTAAGTTCAATAAGAAGTGAATTTACCTGCGCCCAGGTGCGTTTAGAAAGCTGACCGTCCAGGAGTGGCAGTGGAAAGAGAGGCACAGAGGGAGAGAGAGAGAGGGGGGAGCGCACAAAAAGCAACAACCGGGAAAGGTTACGGATGTAAGCGTGCTTTTGACACATACTGAGAACCCGGAGAGACTCATCAACTGTTAATATTCGCAAATAATAGGCTAATTCCACTCAAGGACTAAGACAGGAAACATCTGCAATCATGAGGAAATCTTCATATCCAGGTAAGCTGCAGCTTTGTGATAACGGGACAATGGTTAAAGGTGCGTTTTCTTATGAGATATCATCAGGCTGTAGCTGTAGACAAATTAAAGGAAAACGCTCCACCTTGTAAAGCACTGGCGTGTGTGTGTGTGTGCGCGCGCATGCGTGTGACTGAGAGCTGGAAACAGAGAGGAAGAAAGGATCATTTCAGGTAAATGTTTAACAGCATTAACCATGAATATGTTTGGCATCCCTGCTCCTTCCCACATAGTGAATATTTCATACTCTTCTTTTGAATTCCCCCTTTGCAAAGAAAGGGCCCACACAAGGATCTGTGGGTGTGGTAGTAAAACATTTAGAGTCCAAAGGCCAGATGATGTCTGACTGCAGCCCTACACATGACATCATGACAGAGAGGTGACACAGAGACGCTGGGCTCATTCTTCAGGCAAAAATTAAAGAGTTTTATGCTCTGAAGAAGATAACTAACAGGGAAGTAAAATGTTGCCTGCATGCTGCTGCTGGTTGAAAACATGGACTGCACACCGGTTGTGCAGGAATCATTTATAGTTGGTTTAAGTATACAGTTTACTCTAATCGGGAGATGTTTAGCTTGTTAATCTGTTTTGATTGACAGTGTGTAGTCACTTGACTCCTCCCACACTAATACCCTGAAGAATGACTTGATTTATGCATCTGCATCGACATGCCTATTGGTTCAGTTTACTATAGGACTGGCTGGATTTGATTGTGGTTATTGCGAAATAGTAAAGCAGGAGGTTATCGTAACTGGGGTGTCAGACAGCCAGCAGCTTATCAAAGATCTCTGTAAGACTATATTGTGATTAGACTGATTGTGCAGGGAAAGTCTAATGTTACCGTCTTGCTCCTTGCTCAGACACCTCAGCAGAGAGATGTTTGCTGCCAGCCAGCCTGTTCGTTTGAAGGATAGCCTCACCAACCAGTAGGGCTGCCATGTCACCATCAAACAAGCCATCACTGCTATCTCTTTCTTCCCTCATTTCTTCGTCTCTCTTCTCCTTCAACGCTTTCTTTATCATCTCCCTGTTCCCCCTTTCTTTCCAGCACTGCTAACAATCAAGTCCATCTTCTTCTGACCCCCCCCCCCCCCCCCCCCCCCCTAAGCTCCAGCTCAGTCCAGTGTACACAACCCTATCCCACTGAATGCCTTTCCCGGCTCCTCTTCCCAGAGTCTTTGGGAGATGGAGCATCCGACGGTTTTCCATCCGAGCCAAGCACATGTTGGGTCATGCTGCCTCTCCTCTTCCTGTGTGTGTCTGTGTGTGTGTGTTCTCCCTCTGCCGTGCGACGTGTGCGGAGCTGTCACATTCTTTGTTAGATCTCCACTCGGGAAAATAGTCTAATAACAAAGTGTGTGTGTGTGTGTGTGTGTGTGTGTGTTGTGAAAGGCCCTCCTCTCTAACGTGTAGGGCTGTTTAAACAAGCATCAGAGATGTGGAGGGGTGACTTTCAGAGAGGAAGGTCGGCATGTGTGTCAGCATGTGTATGTTTTGTACGCAAATTCCTTTCACACACACACACAAGCAGATTGCCTATCTGGCACATCTGAACTCTATGAGTTTAAGACCGTATGTATAGAAGTGTGTGTATATTCATTTTTTGTGGGGCTTTATATATGAATAAGAGTGTGTGTGTGTGTGTGTGTGTGTGTGTGTGTGTGCGCGCGCGCCTGTGTTCACTCATGTAACCCCTAGCAGTTGAACCCTGCTAGTGGAGCCGATCCCTGCCTTGTACACCACTCCCTCAAGTCATCTGGATCAATGAGTAACCTGTATAAATAACAGCCCACTCCAACACACACACACACACACACACACACACACACACACACACACACACACACACAGAGTCATTATTTTCCAAGTACTCCTCCTGGTATGTGCTTTTATGTCCTACTCAAAACACACACATACACACCTAATTCCACTACCTGTGTGACAAATGCCTCACTCTGCGCTGCATTATGGCTTTCAGCCTGTTTATACTGAAGAGTCAGCGAGGCTTTGATTCTGAGCCTAGCAATTGTTAGATGGTAACTTGAAAGTCAAGCTATAAACTGTGTTGAGACATATTTGCCCTGTCATCTAGCAGAGCATGCCGAGGACAGTCTAACCCTCAATTTGGATTCCTAGAAGCCTGTGAATAATGGACGAATAAGGTATTGAAACACGTGGAGCTACAGGTTTGACTTTGGGACAAATCTTTTAAAAAAGCTTCAGAAGCCAGAAAGGAAAGTGTGAGGATAGAGAACACATCAGTTGAAGTGTTTTTGGAGGTGTAATATCAGACTGGCAATGAAAACACCAAAATGTGGATTTCAAATGTTTTGAATTGATGGTGTATTTTCAGTAAAATCAAGCTGTAACGAACAAAATGTTCACCTTCACTACTGGTTTTGAAGTTTTACTAATTGACCATTTGCTAGACCCTAATCAAAGGGGAACATATCTATGTTCCCAAGCACAATCAGAGGACCTTTACAGGGTTTCGTGTTCCCAGCAATGTTTTTTCCCTTGGGTCAAATGTTCAATGTATGTTGAAATCACCCACCTACTGCTTGTACAGCTTACTGGTGTTATACTCCTTAGTCCATACCAATCTCTTACAATGTTAATTTAAGAGACACATGCTCATAGGGCCCTGGGGTGACCCTGACCATAGCTTAACAACCATAACTAGGCATGGCGAGTCCATCAATTTGGATTTCTCCACGTGTTAAAATGATGTGCGTAGAGATGTAGTAAGAGCAATACTACTTTGGAAGGTGGTGCCATCAACTACATATTTTAAACCTCTTTACAATGCCCTTTAAAACGAGTCAGCTGTGAATTCTGACAGTCAGACAAAGTTTTCAACCATAGAGCTAATGTTAGCTTAAATGGCGTGCTATCTAAAGCTGTTAATGACATTGATCGCCAGCTAGAAATGAGCCTGCCTTTGTCCACCACAAATTTTAAAAAATACCAGGAATTTTAAGTGGTAAATCTCTGTCGTCATTGTAAAATTTATAATATGACATTTGACAGGTGTAGCAACAGTAACAAAGGGTATGTGGCTTAGTGGACAGTCGATCTGTATTTCTTTAGAGGTAAGTAGGCTGTTAATCACAAAACTATGTTAAACTTATCCATTTCTCCACCACATTGTACTACACTATACTCCTGTTTGCAACACAGTGTCATTGATATCCTCTGGAATGTGGAGTTCCCCTGATTGCAGGAGACCTGCAGTCTATGTCTTGTCTCTGCTGTGTTTGGTCCTCCCCTCTCAGCCGTGTGGAGCCTGCTCTGAAGTGTCCACTCCGCTCTGTGTTTATTATCTGCAGCCAAGAATGCAGCTCTGTGATGCTGGCTGCCGCTGCTGCTGCTGGGGGTGTCAACTGATACAACAGACTGCCTGTACTGTAGGCCTGAGGCCAGGAGAGAGCCTGTAAAAAGATAATGGCAGGCTCTGAGTGGTTCTGATGTGTGGTGAAACATGTAGATGTGGGTGTTACAACGATAACATGCATGCACAGGCACACATTTCAAATACCTGTATTCATTGAAATTAGTGACCATATGATTTTTCTTAATTAGAAAGATTTTACCACTAATCTTGAAGGGAAAAGTCTGTAAGAAGATATTAGTGTCCATACAAGAAACTGCAACTCCACTGTTTGGCAAGAGCAACCTTATCCTGTTGTGACATGAATAAATATCTTATTGCAACTTGCAATCACTTTAAATGTTAGTGATTCATATCTGTTCAGAGAGCGTATCAGAGTGGAGATAGCGCTCCTGAATTAGCAAGATAATGCATGTTAGCGGCATGTGAGGCTTGCTTGTTGTCCAAAGCAACCACTCTTTAGCGATCCTGCAGAATTGCTCTCTACAACATCTGCAGTATTCAGCCCTTCCTCACAAGGGAATCAGCACAGCTCTTGGTCCAAGTGCTTATCATCTCCCTTCTTACTGCAACTCGCTTCTGACTGGACTCCATTCCTCTGCAACGTATACAGAATGCTGTAGCACGCCTCGTGTTCAATCTACCAAAGTTCTCGCATGGGACCCCCCTCATCTATGATCGCCACTGGCTCCCTGTAGTAGTTCGCATCATATTTAAGACAGTGCTATAGGTACAGTGGAACCGCCCTCACATACATCCAGGCATTAGTCATGCCCTCTCTCGAGCGCTCCGCTCAACTACCTCTGCTGGCTGGTTGGTATCGCTCAGAGAAACCAAAGGTCACTCAGCTAAATCACAACCTTTCAGACATACTGCGCTATGAAACCCATCATATTCAATGGCTTGTGCCATGCCAAGTTGATTGTTGCTGTGCAACGCACAGCACCTCACAAGACGTACTTGCGTGCACACCACGGTCAAAGTTCAACACAGTTTGTGCTGAACCCAGCGGCTAGCTCAGCATAAATTGCTTCCTATTTGGATAGTTAGTTGCTTTGGATAAAAGCGTCTGCTAAATGTGAATTAAATGATTAATTATTAATTGGTCAATTATCTGCATTCGCCGAACTCACTTCAATTTCAGTTTCAGTTTGATCAGTTTTATTACACATGATAGTTCAGAAACAGTACAGCAAGAGATTGGTTATAAGCAATAAACATAACCCATAGATAATGATGACATACAGTACTTTTTCACAGTTAGGCTGGAGTTTTCATACACACCCAATTCTCAAACACATGAATATGTACAAGCGCATGCATTGCTCATGCTACTATGCGCATTGCTTCAGTGTTGGATGGAAGATGGAATGATGGATGGATGCCAATATGGAAATCCCTGTGAACACACAGATGCTAAAACTCTTAAAAACACAAGCGACATAGAGCATAGACACAACTGCTCAACCACTCAGTTGTTCACCTATGACATACAGTAACTACATGTTTCCTGGGGGAGTTTCAACCCATAAAGCTCTATGGACTACTTAACTGACTGTGGGTTTTTACAGCCTTGCAAGAAGGAAGGCTG